ACAAAATAAATTTAATTCAGCACATATAACCTAAAATTATATCCAAAAGACTAACTATAAAAGAATAAATATATTCAATAATACTCACTATCAAAGAAAGAAATAAATAAAATTTAAAACAAGAGAGACTAATTAATTTATTTCTAAAAAATAGAGGGGCTAATATATAATTTACTCTTTATAAAGAACAAAACACTACATGAGCAACGAACCCATCAAGGAACATCGGATACAAGTAGTCTAGCCGAATCCGGTAGGGGGTTTACATCCTAATCTTTGAGCAAAATCATTCCTCTAATTACTTTAGCAACAAACTTTGCAATTATATTAGCAGATCTTTTTACTAAAGAGACGAACGATTAACTAAGCTAGACAAATGCTTTTAACAATGTCGCCGACATTCGATGAGACTCCTAAAAAATTAATTTTTTTATTTAATATTTGAATTATTTATGATTTCCGAAGATGTGAGTTATTATTGATTTTAGGAGTTGTCATCTAGTATTGTAGGAACTAGAAACCTAAAAATAGCACTAGTTCGGAGATTCTAGGGTAAGGAGTTGATTATACTCTTGGAAAGATATCGATCACTCAAAAACATTATTTTCTAAGAAAGGTATCACGTCTAGTTTAGTCTAAAATTTATCTCCTAAAGCATTTTATTTGTGCCAAATTATTTCCAATTTGAACTCCAAGTTTTTTTTTTATTTTCTAAGCCAAATTCAATTTTTATTTTTGTTTGTGACATTATATTGAACCAATCGTCGGATCCCTTCATCGAAAGATATGTCAATTCAACATCGAATCCAATTTAAGTCTCGACATAACTGGTATGTTGGAGAATGACCAAATTACTAAAATGATTTTTTTTTCTAACAACGAGTCTCCATTAGATAAAAGACTTTATTAATTTTTTCGAGCATGTTCTATTTTCTAGTTTTATTTTTCCTCGCATTTTCCTTTCCTTTTCTTTTTTCTCTATTTTTTTTTTACTTATTGCTTTTTCTATTGTTTTGATGTTAGTTTTTTATTTTTTTATTTTTTAATATTGATTATTAGTGAGGAATTGTCATCGATCCCTAAAAATTAGAAAACTCGATAATTTGTTCACTAGTTAATTAGCTATCATAATTCTTAACATAAAACCTAACTAATTAAATATTTCAATTAAATAAATAGAAAATAAATCAAAAATTCAAATAGATTGAATTTAAACTAGGCATAAAAAATAAAAGCATATAACAAAAAAAAAAAATTAGGCAAGGTTCACTAAGACAAAAGGCTGAAAATAGGATAATTGGGCCACTTTGGGCCATTTGGGCTAGGCCTAGATTAGACTGAAGACTCTATTTTCTTTTTCTTCCTTCTTTTTCTTTTCCTTCCTGGTTGGGCTAACCCCAATTTAACTTATTTTCTTTTCTTTTTAGGTTGGGCTAAACCCGACCCATTTTCCTTTTTTTTTTTTTTTTTTTTTGAGCCGAGTCGAACCCATCCCTCTTTTCTTTTCTCATTTTTTTTTCTTTCCTTTCTCCACTTCTTCTTTTCTTTCTTTTCTTTCTTTTCTCCTTTTTCATTTATGGATCAAACGTCCGGTTTATTAGAGCCTTAAGAACTTAGTCAATTGATTGGAGATTTCATACTCCAATGAATCTCGGATGGTTTCTTAACTCACTTATTAGCTTCTCGATTCTTTTTTTTAAAAAAAAAAATCGATTAGATGAGTTTGAATCCTTGGATTCAATTGATGGTAGTGATAGTATCACTAAAATTTCCCTTTGCTCAAACAAGCACGAATGGAAACTGATTAAACATTGATGAATTTTATAGTGTGACTAATCGAGGGCCTAGCTTGCTGAAATTGGTCGAATAGATTTCATTCCGTTAGAAAACCAAGATCAATCAAAACCATTTCTAGTTTTCAATTTGCAGGAAATGGTTGAAGGAAACAATGAATGTTCATTTATTATTTCTATTGTAAAAGTGCAAAACAATCCTCCTATTTTCTAAATTTTTTAATTGCATCCTTAATTTTTTTCAATTATACCCTTAATTTGTCTTATTTTTGTTCAATTTGGCCCTTATTATCTTCTAATTTTGAATTGATTTAATGCAATTATGCCCGTGATCATATTTATCCATCAATTTTTACAATATATATATATATATATATATATATATATATATATATATATATTATTATTTTTTTCTTTGATTTTCCCTTTTCAATTTTTCTTTTCTTTTCTAATGATGAGTACTAAAATAAAAATGAATAAAAATAAACTAAAATAATGAAAAAAAATAAAGAATGAAATGAAGGAATAAAGAACAAACTAAAATAACAACTAAAAAAAATAAGAATTAAATAAAAATAAAAAATAAAATTAAGGAAAAAAAAGTAAAACCAAAAATTTGGGTTATGACAAACATCCTCAACTTTTCGAGCAATTTTCCATGGAAAAGTTTGATAATTTTCTAATATAGTTACAACAATCTGTATAGAGTCTAGTTTCGAACATCAAATTTTGGAGACTTCGGGAATCAAATAATCTAGCACCCCTTCTCTCAAAGTCATGGCTTATGCAAATAAAACCAAAGAACTTCTAGCGAGCACCCAAGTTTAGTTGGTTATTTATGAGAGGAGGCTTAAATTTAGGGCCCATTTGTTTTTCAAAAAATATTTTTTGAGGAAAACACTTTCATGTAGAAAAAATTCTTCCAAATAATGAGTTATTTTCTATTGTTTGGATGTCTTAAAGAAAAACATTCTTCGAAAAATAAATTATTTTTTGTTGATGGTTTTGAAAGATGATAATAGGATGTAAAAAAATTTATAGTATCGGTGACGGTAGTGATAGTGATGGTGATGATGATGGTTATAATTGTTGTTGTGGCAATGGTAAAAATGGCAACGATAATGATATGATGGTTGTAACAATGATTATTTTAATGACAAGAAGGTGGCGGTGGTGGCGGCAACTAGTAGTGAGGTTGAAGTGATAATAATGATAGTGAAAATCGTGATTACATAAATAGCTAAGTAGTGGTGGCGGCAACAACTAGTTGTGGTGAATTTTTTTAACTTACACATTTAAGATTCCTAGTAAAACTAATTTGCTACAATTTGAATTTGTGACCTTATGTTGAAAGAGACCACTACCACTAAGCAATAATTAGTTGTGGTGCTTGTTTTTATGATAGTAACAAGGTTGAAGTGATAATGGTGATGGTGAAAATAATAATTACATAAATAGGCAAGTGGTGGCGACGAGTGATGTTAGTGCCTAGTGATAAGAAGGTGGAGGTAGTGAGGTGGTTGTTGGGTAGTGGTGATGTTAGTACCACCAGTTCAAAACTAGTTTGCTACAATTTGAACTTGTAACCTTATGTTAAAAGAGACCGCTACCACTAAGCAATAACTAATTGTGGTGCTTGTTTTTATGATAGTAATGAGCATGAAGTGATAATGGTGATGGTGAAAATAATAATTACATAAATAGGCAAGTGGTGGTGGCGAGTGATGTTAATGCCTAGTGATGATGTAGGTGGAGGTAGTGAGGTGGTTGTTGGGTAGTGGTGATGTTGAAGAATTATGGTGGGATAGTGACAAAATGGTGGTTACATTGGTGGTAAGATAATGATTATAAAGATAGTGGTGGTGGTGGACAGCAATGGTGGAATAGCGGTGGTTGTCATGGTACCGTTGATGACAAGTGGTGGTGATGGTGTTATTAGTGGTAGTGTTGGTGATAATAGTGATGGCGTTATTGAAGTGGTTAAATCATAATGTCGGTGAATAGTGAGGTCGTAGTATGGAGAAAAACAATTTTCTAGTTGAAGTTAAAATAATTTTTTTGTCAAAATAGGCAGCATTATTCAAAAAATAACTAAAAGATGACTTATTTTCCAATGTTGATTCGTCGGTGGAAAATGGGAGATTTTAATTTCAAAAGAAGAGCTTTAGAGATGGAGGACGTGATGGTTTTTATACTTGAAACGCCATGCAAGATCCTAAGATTATTATTAGAAAAGTTTGCCTCACTCATTTTCCAATTTGATGGGGCATGGCAGGAAACGAGACTTCATTGTTGTCCAATTAATATATTTTCCCTCCGCCTATAATCAGGAACCAAATCTTTTAGACACGATTAAGAATGAGCCTTTAGCAGCCGCAGGAGGGAAAGAAAGGAAAGGACTCCTATTTCTGTCTAATCCTTGCTAACTGAAAACAAAATTCAAACACATTCAAGGAACACAAAATTTTGGTTGTCCAGTTGATTTCTTATAATCTAGAAAGTTTTTATTACAGACTTGGCTCTATTGACAAGTACGCATCAAGCAAGGAAAACTCCCTGCAGCTAACATTTAATTGTAAAAGAACACTAGGAACAACAACCAAAAAAAAAAAAAAAAAGGGTCTATTGAACTCTTCTGCTTATGATTGACAATTGTCACGATTTTCGTTTTAGGTGCACCACTGGCTTCTTCGGTCCACTACAAGTTCTCACAAGTTTGAGGGCAAAAAATCGAAATGTTACTTAACATTTTTAGAATGACGATGGCTACGGTGGGAACCTGCCCTAAGTTATTGGACACAGAAGTGATAACTCATGCCTCAACAGACTGTTACTGAACAAAACATCAATTCTCAAGTTTTTTGGGTATTCAGAGACCAATCTCCGCCAAAGTTTGAACAATAAAATGTGTAGGTTTGCAAAAGAAGTGATCTAAAGTGGGGAGGGAACGACCACTGTGATTCTCACACATCTGGAACAAAATTCAAAACAGGGCAAGTGATAAGCAAATCGGATGACTGTAACAAGACAGAAATATAGTGAGGATGTAGTATTCTCACCAAGATGAAGCAATAAGTCCCAAGTGGGAGAAAATATCCCCAATCCAATGACTGAAGGATACTACAACATAGTTACATGCTGTGCCGGCCTTCACCAGTGTTAGAAGATTCCATATAACGAAAGCTTTCTGATCCATGCTTTGCATTTTTATCTGGGTGATGTGGAAGATAAAACCCCAATTTGTAAGGATGGGCGGCCAGGAAGTTTTGTTGGCTCTGAACTTACTTGTAAAAGAGCTGCTCTTTCAGGGTTCATAAGCAAAAGCTGCTGCATGTCTTTGGGAAGGACATTGAACACTGCCTGCAGATCTTTCTTCAATTTCTGGCAAGTTTCTGCAAAGTCTGCGCCAGCCCTTCCTGACTTCTCCATCTGATGATTGCATTATGAAAAATAAAACATATATCTTTGCTATAACCTTTACACATTGAACAAAGATCAATCCGCACAGCCTCCGGCCCAACCCCCACAACCCAACCCACAATTTTTGACAGGGTTACAAACATGACAAATAAGACCATGGAATGTGTATAAACATATAATTGTGACCAGCATTGCAAACAAATATTTGCTTGTCCTAAAAATAAAATTTCAATCATTGGTTAATCCTGCTCAAAGAGGTCCACAAAACAAGTGGGATGCATTTGAAAGAATAGAGCCCCTCCATAAGTAACAAACCCCTGCAGCCTAGTTCACGTTCTCCTTACTATAATCACTTTGGTCTACTTTTGCTGCTAGTTCTCAGCAGGCATCTTAACTTCCTTGCACATCAGGTTATTAGTCTGGTTATTTATTTCCTTTAGCCTCATTCTCACCACTGTTCAACCTACATATACTGTACCAAAGCTGTGCAAAATTTGCTGGCAAGAAGCTATGCCAGGAAAAAAGCCTTCGATGCCAACATCACTAATTATACTGTGTCTCAGCCTTTAAGACAAGACATATTTCTTCTCTCTGCCAATTGATAACTCTCACTATTTATGCACGTGTCACAGTCTCTAACTTAACTAAAGTAAAATGGAAACTAGGCTTTCAGGCTGTCATGATTATAAGTATCATCAGAATGGTAATTACTTCCAAATGCTATTATCTAATTCCCAAATGAGAAAAAGAAAAAAAAATCATGATGGTGAACATCTTGTTTTTGTATCAATGATTTAGTCCAAATAATCAACCATATGAACTTGCTTTGGCTAAACCAGCTTTGGAAAAGACATCTTCTAAAGGTCCTATCTGAACACAAAGAACCAACCAAGGATCCTTGAAATCAAACTTAACAGAGAAAATCAGCAATTACATTATCAAAAATTAAAGACGGGCAGTCTAGATTCATTTAGATAAACTTTCAACAACAAGCTGCCAAAATAAACGTGCATGTATTCACATGCAGAAACTAATTATCCATGAAGCAGCAAAAAGTTTACATGCATATATCCGTGAAAGCATCCCATCTATATGACAGCTTTTCATTATAACATACTACATGTCACAAGCTTCAGGACAGATTCAAGAGCCAAGTGTATCTTCACTCTCATAAAGGCTTTTAAAACAACACAGGCTACTAACCATCCAGAAGAAATAGTAACATGCCCCTATTTGGAGGATTTAAGATACTAGCATATACCACTTTTTAGCATGAAATTTTTCATCAACCATTAACTACCTTACTAATGTGTAGATCATGGAATACTTTTAGATCAGACCCAATTCTGAAACTCACGACCCTCTGTTAGAGCATCCAGAGGTATACAGGTCTAAACTATAACCTATGCAATAAAATCCTTCCACAAAGGACTCCATATCCCTCTACAATGGGAAACCAACAAAGCATGGGGGATGGGGTATCCTTGGATGTTGGGCATCAAGCAATTCTAATATTGATATTTTACATTTTCTCAGTCTCCTGAGAAATACCTCAAGTCCAGCACTTCTGCTGGTTGTGTGTATACTTGTACCATTTCCTAAGATGACACGCTCCCTTTGGCAGCTGCATGCATATATCTAACATGTGTGCACGCATGCAAGAGTGTGCTGTTTCTGAAGTTGCATGCATGTATTTAAGTGTGTGCGTGATCCAGGACAATTGCAGGGCAGTTATGTATACTTTGTACATCTATGTGGGTATGTGTTACAGTTCTTGTACTTTCTTCCATAGATGAGGGTGCAGATTTATCTCCTTCACTTACAACTCATGTTTTTTCCTAATAAATGTTGGCCAAAGGCTAAACCACGTAACTCACTTCTATTCTTGTATTATTGTTCTTATTTATAAACCATGAAACCAAACCTTAGATGCTTGCAGGCATAGCATGAGCTATTACAAAATTGTGACAGATTGAAAAAGAAAAAGGCATACTGTTTGGACATATTAAGGAGAAGAAACAGTGTATTTACCTGAATTTCTCCGTGGAGATGTCTTTCAATAGCACTGAAAGAATCAACAATTTCCAATTCTGGCATTTTTGATATGAGAAGCTGTATGTCTGCCTTCATTCTTGCCTGCCTCCAGAGTCTATGTTGTTCTTGTTCAGCAACAGTGCGCCTTCTTTGAAACCATGGTATGAAGTTTGGCCCTTTCAGGAACCTCCTGCACAGCAATGTAAACCATCTTTATCTTAACAACAAGAATTGAAAACTTGGACAAATTTGATTGAAGGACAGAGGAGCAACAAATCAAACTGACAAAAGAAAAGAGTCATAAACATATCAATAGCACTTTAATGATTATTACTTGTATAAATCCAGCCAATTAGACTTCATCCTCTTCAACAAAAACTTCCCCACACCTCTTGCTGATAAGTTTGCCAGAAATTCATCAGCATCAAATGGAGGAAGAGGGGGAGGGTCAGTGAATGGAATAGATCCTTCAGAAGGAGTGGTGGCCCTAAAATATGGTCCAAAAGGAGCCAAAAAGTTGGTGGTGAGCTCTAAGAAATGACGGCGCAATATTTCATTGTTAACAACTGACATTGACTCCTCAACCCTTGGTGACATTCCAGCGTCAATAAGCCTATTCAAGATAGAAGTGTCAGGCTTAGTTGTTGCAACATAGGTACTCCAAATGGCTTCCTTATGTTCTGTCATAAGGCAAAGAGGACCATCTCTCCTTAACTTAACAGCACTCAACAATTTTGAAGGAGAAAACTTCTTCAACGAAAGCTGATGAAGACCAAATCCTTCTGGTCTTCCAGGAATTCTGCTAGAAGAAGAACTACTTGAAAAAGGAACCCGGTTTGAATTAGGAGCAGGACTGCCAACTGAAATAATGTGGGGAATATTACGAAGAGCTTTAAGGAAAAATAGATTTGTTACACCCAAAATCATTGGAGGGAAAGTATCCCCTTCTTGAAGTGAATTCAAATGCTTAAAATCGGGGTCATGGATGGTGAAATATGGCCTAAAATCAACACTGCATGGCAGTGGTGCAACCAAGCTGACTAGACTTGCAACTGCCTCACAACACTGGGGAGGTGTTGGTCCTATGATGAGAATGGGTTCCCCAATAAGCAACAACTCCCATAACAACCAAAGCTGCAACAAGATTCCCCGAAATGTACCAAAAATATCTGAATCATGAAAAAGACCCTGTGGAATTGACTGATTATTTGGAAGAAAAGGTGCCATGGCAGAAGCAGATTCTTCAAACATCCCAATTTCAAAGGGCAGACTATGAGCAGGTGGCAAGCTAACTTTAAGCAACGCATTCCCAATAGGAAGCTCAATTTGTTTGCCAGGTACAGGAGCAGGCCACATTGAAACATAAGCAGCAATATGCTCAAGAGCTTTCTTTCCTATGTCGAAATATAAAGGACCCATGATTTGTAACAAAGGCCTAAACACACTAGAGTAAGGATTATGAGATAATATCACAACAGATTTTTGTTCTCCACCTCTCTTTAGCCTCTCATCATGCCGTTGTCTATTAAATACATAACCATACAAGTATTTCAAACATTTGGTATCATTTCTAGTTTTTCTGCTATTGAATACCTTCTCTTTCATGGACTTTGAAGATACTTCTTTATCATCAATTTCTATTATCTCCGAAGAAGTAACATTCCCTTGTTCAGAACTCTTCCGCCTTTGGATGCGGAAAAAGAATATGCAATCATGAATGCTTGAACGGTTCTGGTTCTGGGAAACAGAGTCCGGAAATGAACTGAAAGCAACATCTAGTTCCTCTTCATTTGAGAGATAACCAGGTGGATAACACTCTTCAATGAGCTGACCTTGTTCAAGATCAAATCTAATAATGCAAAAGGCAGCAACCCATTGCTGCAAAGATTCCAAATTAATCTTCAGACTAAGCTCCTGTTTAACAGAAAATGAAGGTGATCGACTCATTTCTTAGATAATCAGCACCCCTTTTTCATCCATCAAAAAAGCCAGTTCTCCTCATCTATGAGAAGCACACTTGAGCTACTTTTCCAGTCAAAATCTTCTGGGATTTTCGGGCTATTAAACAATTGCGGTAACAAAATCAAAGCCTACAAAAGAAAACCAAGAAGCATGCGTTCATTAATGTAAAAATCAAAAGAAGTCCCTTTAGAAACAAACTTTTGAAAAGCAATGGCAACAATTTGTTTGGCAACCTAGAGAACCCATTAAAAAGATAGGTAATTAAAGTTGCAAAAGCTTAGAATTGAACAGAAAACAATGAACTGAATCCTAACAACAGAAAACGCAATTTCAAACATCCAAATTTAAAAGAAGATCCAAGAAACGGGTACAAGAGAACCATTAGGCTTACCTGAACTGAAAAACCCAGAAACAGTTATTGCAAGAATCAATCCAGATCAATCAAAAGGAGGACACCCAATTGGCCAAAAACAAATGGGTACCTTTTAAAAACCAGAAACGTTGAGGTCTTCTTGGAGTTGCCTTCGTAACTGTATGAATTGCGGAGAGTTTGTGTATAATCTCACGTAGTTGGTAAGGCTATAGATTTGTCAGAAAAATAAATCTACGAAATATAAATGGCAATGCAATTATTTGTTAATAATATGTCTTTCAAGCTCTTTCAGTATATGTTTTCGCCTGAATCGGAAAAGCATATTTATCCGGTAATTATTAATTTTCTTTTGTCCTCTCCGATTAGACTCACTCTATATGGTTTTCACATTATTGAAATGAGCTCTTTTTAATTTTTATTTATTTTTTTCTTTTATGAGTGTATATGGTTTTTTTTTTCAAAAAATGTTTTGTAAAGCATGGGATTAAACGAAACGGTACTAATAATAACAACATTGCATTTCTTTTCTCTTTCCAATTTGATAACCATTTCAACTCACAAATCAATTGATTTAAAAAAGTAATAATACTAGGTCAAAGATCAATTAATCATAACATATGAAAAAAAAAACCCCCGATTTTATACTTTGTATTTGTATTAAATCGGCAAATTGTTTCCTATTTAATTAATTTTATCACTTCAATTCTATATTTATTACATTTAGTTAATTCAATTCAATTTAATTTATACATAATTATTTTTTATTCATAAAATATCTTTGCAAGCGAAACAAATAGAAGACTTTTATGCACAAATCACATGATTAATTATGATTGTTTAATCTGAAAATCTTATCATAATAATATATTAGAAACTTAACATATATTAAAAAATAAAATTAATTTAATAAAAAATATAAGAACAAATTGAAAAATTAACCTATTATATAAAAATAAATTAAAATATTAATATAAAAAATCTAAAATTTTAAGAGAAAATTGTAAAATAAATAAAACAAAATCTTTACGTGTTATTGAGATTTGCGAGCTTTTATGTTATGGGACTCTCCAATGAGTCCCACGTCAAATTTATTTACTTCTTTTTTTGTGAATTTCTTTTTAAATTAGAGCTAAGTATTTTAATTGAAATTGTATTTTATATGGCTAATATTTTTCAACTCAATAAGTTTTGATATAATAAATGAAATTTTCTTAACAATCAAGGGTATTTAGATCATAGTCTAAATATAATTATAAGATCAAATTCATAAAATTATTACATATAGTTCAATTTGTCAATTTAATACAAACTACGATAAAACTAAAAATTAAATGTTAAATCATTAAGTACTAAATATGTTATTGACAAACTGTTTTCTATTTACTAAAAATTAAATACCGAGTATTATAAGATTGTTTAATAAGTACGTTACTCGAATATATTAACGCTATATATATGATAATTTTAATCTTGTATTACAACATTATATTTTTTTAACACAAATAAAAATATATACATAAATGTGTTTGTGTGTATAAATAAATAAATAGATAAAAATTCAATAAAAATGATTATTAATAAAAAAAATTAACGATCTAAGATAGCATTAATTGTCATATTATGTACAAAATAAATAAAATCTCAAATATTAATCAATTATTGATAATTTGGTCTCGTAAATTAGCCATAAATATTTGATCAATTTATATTTACGTTATTCTTTCAGTGAATAGTAAATTTGTAGGAACATTTGAGGTGTAGAATTGTTTTGAATCAAGTAATTAATCAATGCATCACGCCCCAATCATCATCGAATACACTGACTTGTTTAAGAATGATTCGATATAATGCAGCAAGGATAAATTATTGAGTATTACTGGTGTATTAATTGAGAAACAACTAGTAGTAATAAATACTCACTTGGCTTGGCGAGGCCTGGAAATGATCAACGTTGGACCGGGTCGTAAAGTAATCTTTCATTTCTTACTAGTGAATCAGTCGAATATTCTGCTGAGGCGAAGGCACTGCAAGAGCTGTTAGCAAAGTGCTACAGAAGACCAAGAGGAAAACGGAAGTCGACTCGTATTTTTACAGCAATTACTTTGGTTCCTAAATTACAGAATACTAATAAAGTTACTGATTTTCGACCAATCTCGTGTTGTGTACTGTTCTTTATAAATGCATCTCAAAATTGTTGGCTAATAGGCCGAGAAGATGTCTTCTTTTCTTGATTAGTTTGAATCCAGCAACGTTTGTTTTGAAAAGACAGAAAAATTAGCGATAATGGTTTGCTTGCTTGCTCAAGAGACTGTGAAAGGATAATTGATAGCTAATATGCCTCCTAGCTGCACTCTTAAAGGGCATATAATGAAAGCATTTTATGATGTAAATTGGAATTTTTTTTTTTTTTTTTTGATAACCCAAGGTGTCCGCGCACCTCGACTAATTTCCGGACTCATTGAACACCCCGCAAGCTCAATGGGCGGATAAGGCACTGCGAGGGTGACGGGCGTGTATAGAAAGATTCGAACCCGGATGTCATCGGTGAACGACCCTTAACCTCACTACTAAGCTGCGACCTCAAGCGTAAATTGAGATTTTTTTATTCAATGTATTAGGAGTCGTAAGCATGCCTACTGTGTTTATAAACTAGATCAGATCAGAGCTTGCGTCATAACTTCTACCTATTCCATTTCTATTCATGGCAGCTTATATGAATATTTTTCTGGAAGAAAAGAATTAATGCAAAGAGATCCACTTTCTCTCCTTACCTATTTATGATAGTAATAGAAGTGTTGACTTGTCTGTTAAATAAGGCTGCTGGGGATGGATCCCTACTTTTTCATACAAAATGTAGAAAGGTTGGATCCCTACGATATTCAAATCGTGGACTACCAGAGGTTTTGGAGAGACTTAGGAATAGGAGAGGTTTAACTCCACGCTCCAGCATCTAATTAATATTTAAAATTAAGAATATTCGAGAGTTACATAATTATATTTAAAAAAATTTAAAAATCTTTCAATTGAATATATTAATAAAAATATTTTAAATTAAAAATTTTAACTTATCCAATTAAAGTAGATTTTGACAGAATTTAAATTTAAATTTTAAATATGAGATTATTTAGATTATCAAATAAACTTTTTATATTAAGTATACAACTTAATTTTTTAAACTATTTAAATAGGTTACTAAACATATCCTAAGTCTCCTAATGACATTTTTCTATAATATATTAACCAATAGTATATTAATTTTTAGTTTTTTTTTTATGTGAAACTATTTTTTCATCAACTATTGTACATTAAAATACTAAGAATTTTTTCCATCCATCTTAGTCAGGATGGAATACTATATGTCTATTTTGAAGTGCGGTTTTGCTATATTTTGGAAGTGCTTTTTAAAGTGAGTTTAGAATTTTTTGGATGATTGTGGCATGAAGATATCAAAAATATCAAAAGATACCATGAAGAGGTATGAATTTGATGGTTTTTTAACTCAAGATTGCAAAAACATGGAAAGTAAATATAGACCGAAAATAAAATCTCAAGATTTGCATACCATTTGACGTATTTATTTGCATACCACCAGATCGTTGCCACCTCGCCTTCTGCTCTCTCTAATTGTTTTTTGTAGTAGCTTATTCTATTTCTCTTCCATAATCGTATAAGGTAAACCTATAGCTACCATTATACCAAAAGACAGGGATATCAGAGAGTTGAGAGAATAATGGGTGAAGCTTTGTTCTTGATCATCAATTTTCTCATTTATTATGCTTTTTTCCAATTCCAAATCCTTCAAAAATCCCAAAAACTCATCAATGAGTACAATTGCAACGATCGATGAGGCTAACATCAACGAGGACTAAAGGAAAAAGAAGAAGCAAATACTGATATAGAAAAGATAGAGAAAGTTGAGGACTAAAAAGTTTGCTACTTATCCAAATGGCGTCATTTTAGGTGTTTGAAAAAAAAAGCCTTGCAATGGGAAAAACGAGGTCGTTTTGTCTTTTGTTAGACACTATTCAAAAACAGATGCAACTTCCATCCTTTTTTTTCCAGCTTTGCCGCCTTTATTTTCAACTCAGAAGATAACCTTCTCGTTCTCTCTTGCACACGTTTTTTTTTTTTTTGGCTCATCAATCAAGACAAAGAACATGCCTTCCTTCTTTAAATTTTGTACCGAATTTTGCAGCCACAATAGTGCCAATACATACAAGGCAAAAACACTACAAAACAAACTTGTTAGAGAGGTTGAAAAATGCACTCTTTGACCCTTTAATGCAGGCTGTCGTTTTAGTACAAACAGCTAATATGCAGCCAGGCCACTTCCCCTTCCTCCCTCTAGTTCTGCCATGAAAATCCATAGCTTGTACGGGAAAAGTTGCAGAGAGTAAATTATAAATTAGTCCCTCTAGTTTTAAGAAACAAACTAATTAGTCTTCCTTATTTTAACAATTATTATTTATTTTTTTAATCAGTATTGAATATATTTAATTTAATATTATTTATATTTCACAAAATCTCTTATTTTCTCATCAATTGTTTTTCATATTTTTTCTTTTTCCTATTTCTTAAAACAAAAAATCAAAATAAATTAAAAAAATACCAA